GGTAGTGGAGTCTCCTTCGCTGGAGATATTCAAAACCCGTCTGGATGTGATCCTGGGCAATCTGCTCTAGAGGACCCTGCTGGAGCAGGGAGGTTGGACTAGATGATCTCCAGAGGTCCCCTCCAACCTAAATGATTCTGTGATTCTGTTTCTATATTTGAACTTCAGAGCTCTGACTGAGAAGCCATTACTTAAGTGAGGACCACTTCACTAAAAGCTAATTTGAGATTTATTGCCTACCCCTATCGGAATGTATCTCACATTGGTGAAAAAATTGCTACAATATGATGACCTGTGTCAACTGCTGAAGCGCATCTGCAACAACGGATTAAAAAAAACCCTAATCACCATTCAGGGTCACCAACAGCAATGGGAATTTTTAATCTTATGCTTCGCCCCATAGTAATATTATGCACTTTGACATTATGTTTACTGTTTATAATCATCTTCTACCTCTGTGTATGGTGGTTATTGTGAAAAACACAAGCCCTACTATTATATACTGAGTTCATATATTCTGATTAGTAAAGTCTGAGGTCTATTTATACCATGAGGGCAAGAGGCACCTGTACGGCCACTTCGTGAGGTTGATGGTTTGACTATAGTCAGGGGGAAGAGGTGGCAGGACCTTCGCCCTCCACTTTCCCAAGTGGGAAAAATAACCTCGACACATACAAACGAGTGATAGTAAGTTGATAGTAAAAGGCCTGGGTGATAAGTCCTCGCTTGAGAGCAAATTCGGAAAGTAGGTGACTCCTAAACATGCACTGTGGCTAGATCACACCTGATTTGACTAATAGTACAAATGATGGATGTAGTATAAATAGACCTCGCCTGGGACAGCCATTTGAACTCTCCTGAGGAACAGCGGGCTGTACACGATGATCTCCCCTCGAGCTGAGGCATCTCTTAAAATTGAAAGATCCCTCTCACTCCGCAGACAAAGGTAAAAACTATTGCTTAGTCTGAGATAAACTTTAAAAAAGAAAAAAGCGCTTCACCTTCTCCTCTAGATAGTAATTAACTATGCACATAACTTAAAAGATACAAAAACTTGGCCTCAGTTTAATTACTTATATGTATATCTAGCAGGTATGCTCCTATAAACAAAGGGAGGACTGTTAGAAAAGGGAGCTTCTATGTTAGCTCTAGCCCAGCTTAGCACTAGTGCCTAAAGTAGATGAAGCCTGCAGGCCACAGGAGTGAGTTGTAAATGAGCTCGAGAGACATTGCTGAGGATGCGACTGCAAACGCAGCTAGAACCAGCCCTCAAAGATACAGCACACAATGCACAGAGGTAATGGTTAACCTTCAGATAAGATACAGAACACAATGGCCAGAGGTAACGGTCAACCTTCAGATAAGATAAGGCACCATGAAGCAGGAACACAGCCACCATCTCGGGATGTAGATGTGAACCAATCAAAAGGAAAGACACCACCGACTCAGTAAAGAAGACTGGAAGAGACTGTCACTAGCAGGCAGAGAAATTTGACTGTCAGGAGTATAATTATCCCAAAATGTCTCTGTTCGAGGTCTCTCCTCAGAGGCACCCAGCTCAAGCTGTTACTTTGCTGTACCGTCATTTAAACGAATAATTAAATTCATGTATGTGAGGCTGCTCCTAGGATACCTAGGATCAAACTATTTCCATAACACAACTGTGAGATTTTGAAGACAAAAAGCAGCAAAAAGTGGATACTGTTTAGGCCAAAGAGGCCAAAAGGGGACCTAAAAGGTCTGCAGAGAATACAAAAGAAGGGTGCGTTCAGAAAAAAGATCAGAATGCCTTAGACTGTTCAGGTCATGTCCTTGTACCTGTGCCAGTCTTCTCAAATGCTGAGTAATGGAGATGATTCTTAGTGTTCATGGAGAACGCTGCAAAATAATAGCTGAAACTTTTGATCTGTTCAGGTACCCTTGTTTCGGAAAAGCACCTCATACAACATGTTAACTGAATTTCATTAACTGTTTTACTACAGTGATTAGTGTTTTGGAAGTATCAAAATATATCTAAACCATACTAATAAATACTTGAAACTTGTTTTTATGAGGCTCTTAATTGTCTGTTTATTTTAATTTAGCTTTGGCAGATGCTCTGTGGTCTTTAGTCAAATCTCTGGTGTTACTTAAATTTGGAATAGACAAATTTTAAAACAACCACATTTTTATTTATTTTTCTTGAATGAGTTTGGTCTGAGCATGTGGACTGCAGAAATAATTTTTAAGTCACCTAAACTCTTTGAAAGTGTCAAATGATTCTGAGATTATGACAGATTAGGATGGGGAGCAAAATAAAAATGCTCAATCAACTAAAATAACGAGACCATTCAAAATAACGAGGCAATGCAATTTGACTGAAATTTGAAGCTCAGACAGAAGGCCCCAGATTCAAAGAAAATGTGAGGAAGGACATCCACTTGCAGGACAGTGTGTCTGTCCCTAGATGGTGCTGTTCATCACCATAACATTTGTTCTGAAAATGACAGCGTAACACACAGCTATTCAGAGATTCCTTTCTTATACAGATGTTTCAAAAGTGCTCTGTATGGCTTTTATACTTTAATGGTTCATGTTTGGCAAAGAGGCTTGTACCTCCTCAACCAAATGAGGGCATAGCCCACTGTTCTGCAAAATAAACACACAGCTAGACGATGCCGCTCCAGCAATCAATGCAAAGCTGTATTGGTGTTAGTTACGGGGTCTCGTTCTTGCTAATGTAAACACTGAATCATGCTGTAATTGAGTTGTGGAACTAGCATAACTTAAATGGATTTTTAGAGTTGTTAACACTTGATTTGAGAGGATTACATACTCAAATCACCCACCAGAAACATACTCATTAGAATACTTGTCACACACATTCTGGCTCTCCTCCCAAAGGGTAATGGGTTAGAGGGGACAAAAGGCAACGCCATAAAAATTGGAGTAGGAAGAAAACTAGTTGAGAATAAACTAATAACCAGAACAGAAAAAGAGAAAGGATTTTTAAAAGAAAACTAAGAAAATACAGATATTAACAGGACTTTTCCCTTCCTTAGACAGAAGCATCATTTCAAAGCACAGGGAAAGTAGTGAAAGAGTAAGTTAATAACTTCACATAAACACATGCTCCAGCAGCATTTGACTACTTCTAGTAAAACCACCACAAACATATTATTTTCAATCTTTGTACAAAGCGAGAACAATTTCTACCTCCATTTAATTTGGGGTGTTAGAAATTGCTGTCCTTTTCCATCTGAAAAGAGGTATATGCTAAGCAATGACTAGTCAGGGCTTTTTAAAGTGTCAGTTTCTTTAGGGATCTAATAAGCTGTTCCACTTGTAAGAACTGTCAAAACAAGGACTACTGTCTCCTTTCAGGAACAGGAATAGCTACTGCCCTTTCAAAAGCAGATAGTCATCATTTATATCAAAAGGACAGAGTATCTACTCATCTCTCAACTTACACTCACTTCGGTGGGAACCTGACTAATGCAATATCCACAGCATTCTTTTTGCACAGCCTCACCCTGAAGATGTTAGCATTTGCACTGTTTTATTCACTTTTTCTTACCAGACATTCTCTAGTTCCTATGAATATTCTATCCTGCTGACTATATGAAAAAAGGACTATCTTGCGTTAAAAGTGTTTTGAAGCACTAAGGAGACAAATTTCCAGCAGACTGGAAATGTGTTTTTGTTCTTACCATCTGTCAAAGCGATAAAGAAGGACAGTCCTTCCTGGAGACCCATTTTCAAAGGTGGTCCTGTTCCGGCTTTTCTCCAGTTAAACATATCCAAGGCCTTCTCATCACCACTCACTGCTGCTTTTGCCAGCTGCATGAAGTCCCTGCAAACAAGCAGAGACGCTTATTTCCAATTCCTTACATAACACAGTGCTTTCCATACCAAAGATATCGAACGAGGACTTAATAAAACACACAATAAACAGGTAAGAAAGATGTTTTATACAATGGTTGGAAAAGGACAATAAACTCAAAAAGAAAAGGAAAATGTTAATACTAGTTTTAATTTGTATTATTTCACCTTCTTTTCTCTAAGCATTGTTATTTCTCTAGAGATGTGAAACAAATAAGTGACCTAGGCAAAAAAATATTATGTTTTCTACTAGATCTGTATCCTATTTTTTTGCTTAGAGAAGAAATTTGTAATAATATTTAAGTACTGGTTCTTGACGTAATTCCTGACAGTAATTTTACATATAATTGTGAAAAGCAGCGAGCACACTGAAACGACAATCCGCAACATTGCTACATTAGAAGAACCAAGGGAAGAAGAGGCAACAACAATAGAGATAAAGGCACGGACAGGGGAAAAAAAAAAAAAAAAAAAAGGAGATCTGTAGCTGGATATAGAACACAGAGCCAGCTACTCGAGAGGGAAAGGACAATTAGGAGGAGAACTAGAGGGGAAAAAAAAAAGTATGCCTGGAAATAGGCTTGTCCTTCCATGGAACAAGAGAAAGACCTGGTCTACCAGCGCTCTGAAAGGGGCACCATACTTACTCGCCAGGAGGGGGTGGTCGAAAGATACAGTGAGATATGTATTTTCCATACTCATGTTTCAGCAGGGCAGGACTCTGCACTCGACCTCGCTGGTCCATTCTCCATAGAACCAAGACCCCATGCTAGAAAAGGTAAACAGTTATTTCATTACACTTTCCACACAGATGACAATCCAAACCCAAACTACTCAGCGCACACAAAAGTATCAACTCAGTAAATACTATTTTATTGACAGAGCAATATCTGTCCTTTTATTTAGTTGACAAATGCAATTGCTCCTGCTTAAAACCCAGACAGAAGGAATAAAAATGTTTTTATATTATGTACTTATTTCAAATCAAGTTGTCTAAAAAGGCTTGTTGGTCATACTCATTCCAAGTAAAACGACACTACGAGGGCAATTAAAATGGAACGGTCTTGTTTTTCTCTGCAAGTATGCATACACAGATATTCATTTAAGTAACTGCCTTTCCATTGTTTTCTTGCAAGTAGTGAGGCTGCTAAAAGAAAAAACATTAAGCTACAGGATAGCAAATGAAAAACTATGCATCTCTGAATAAGCACATATAACACAGACATAGATGATCGCAGGTATGTGATCTGACATGTGAAGCCCCAGGATGCAGATCACCTGTCTAGGGAAAAACTTCAGACATTCTGCAGCTTTTCCTTTCTTTCACAGGGTAGATTTTTGACTACAACAAGAAATCATTCAAAAAAAAAAAAAAACACTTCATAGCTGGAAGAACCACAGAAGGAAAGACTTGTTACCCAATTAATTCAACAGTAGTCAATAAAAACTGGCTCTGGGAAATAACTGCACTATTTCCTTCAGCCTAATTTTAAAAGTATCTTGAGCAACAAAGCTTTTGCCTTTTCTTTAGGAAAATGTTCAAGAGTCTAAACAGATTGGACTCCCAGGAAATATTTTTTCTGGCACTCATGCTAACCTTCCCTTTCCTTCGATTCCTTTTCTCCAACTTTTTCTTACCTACCTCATCCCAAACAAGTTTTCTCTCTTCCTGATATTTTGTATCTGAAGACAGCTACTGTATATTACGAAAAGTCAGATTCTTAAGCTTCCATTTTGCTGCCAATTTTATATAACTGTCAGGAATATATATCCTAGACCTTCCTTTTCTCTATCCAAGTACACTTAATTTCTAAAAAAATAACATTTGCAGCATAAATAAGAACTAACTAGTATCACACAGACAAAGTCTCAGTTGCTGGCTTTCCGGTGAGCAAGAACACAAGCGCCAACACCAACGAAACAGCAAAAACTGTGCAAACCTTTGAGCCTGGCACAGGTTTGGCAGTTAAGAACAAGCATTTTGCTGTGCCAGCTCAGGATGCGCATCAATTTCAAACCCCTGTTGACTGCAAAGAAAGGAGCAGGCAGAGAAGCAAAAGGGCAGTGCAGCATGACACACACGTTAACAATCTCAACAAAGTGACTTACGCTACAGCTTCACAGCTGGAATTTTAAGACTATTCCTATTTATTATTGTCATTATGTTTACGAGCCACATTGCATCTGGAGGATCACTGTATAAGCATTATATGAAAAAAGAATCACAGTTTGTGGTCTAAAGTTTAATTTAATTGTGTTTCATTAAGACAAACCATAATAAAAACTGTATTATAATTTGCTCTATTTTTCTTTACTGTTTTTAATGGAATATAGTCTTTCTAGAAGTGAAAGACTAGTAAAAGTAGTATATTGTATACACTTATACTTTGCAGTTCTAACTCACAGAATCACAGAATCGTTTAGGTTGGAAGGGACCTCTGGAGATCATCTAGTCCAACCTCCCTGCTCCGGCAGGGTCACCTAGAGCATATTGCCCAGGATCACGTCCAGACGGGTTTTGAATATCTCCAGCGAAGGAGACTCCACTACCGCTCTGGGCAACCTGTTCCAGTGCTCTGTCACCCTCACAGTCAAGAAGTTTTTTCTCAGGTTTAGATGGAACTTCCTGTGGTTCAGTTTCTGCCTGTTGCCTCTTGTCCTGTTGCTGGGCACCACGGAGA